GGTTTTTATTGTGGTTTTCAGTTTTCCTTCTGGCTCAACTAAGTAAGTGATTCCTAATGGCTAGGCAAGAAGCAAACCGCCTGGGCCTTGTAGCAGCTTTTCAGTGCAATTTGTTCCATCTTTTCTGGTTTGGAGACATACCTTGCGTTCGAAAAATGGTCAGTTTTACGGCTCAAATACTAATGATAAGGATGGCGAATAACACAGATAAAGAAGAAAAAAGCAAAAAAACTCGTTTGAAATGCCATAATAGGACGCCATGCCGGACACCGTTCGGACGTACATAAGTCGAAGAGATGGCATGGTTGGACAAGTTCTTGTTTGGTGGTGTCAACTCATCTTTTTTATCGCCTCACTCTCACCATACGAAATGGGGAGAGCTAGTAGCGAGCGACACAACCGAACCACTAGGAAACCAAAAGAGATATAAGTTGGACTTTGCCGTGGCTAGTGGGCGGTGCTGTGGTCTCACCCCGAGCTGGTAGCGCCTTCCGCTTGACCTTTTGCGCTGTGAAAGTGCTTGCGGACAGAGTTACCTGGATGGAGCTCAAATGAACGCAAAGCGGGACTTGTTAGCTACAGCTACTTGTTAGCTACTTGTTAACTGCTGACAGAGGAGAATAAAGGAGACCGAGGTTCAAGCCAAATCAGCATTAGAGGGAAACATTCGATCAAAATCTGGCCTGAATTTTGAAGGGTAGGGCAGTGAAGGGCAAATAGCCCTTCGTTGATCAGGAAGACAATATCTTTCAAGGTAACGGGAGTAATTTTGATAGGATACGAAAGAAACGATCTTCTATGGGGTGGTTGCTAAATTTCTGGCTGCTGAATTGTTTCACATCAATAACTGCAGTAAATCGAGAAAAAACGACCAAAATGAGCAGTCAGTGACTTCTTGACTGTGAAAAAGCCACGATTATGTCAGAATATGCCGGGCTACCCTAACACGCGATCCACCACATGTCTGCTCTTCGCGACGCACAGAACCCGTTCATAATTCGTGATCCAAGAAAATGGAGTATGAACGCGACTTCAACAACTCAGATTACATTGCAGAATCGCTCCCTTGTTTGCAGCATCCCAGTCACTGACACTGTTCCTTCGTATGTTGTGTTACAAGAATCGGAGTACCTTCTCGTATTGGCTCCAATAAGAGCGGATTCGAAAGCAGATAAGAATGAACAACCTTTTTCGGGGACATGTAAGCACGAACGAATACAACAATTAACAAACCGAAAATGATCAGATGACATGAAGCCAGCCTCACATTCAACAGTACCAGTTATGGTTGGATTTGATCCGTAGCCGCAATTGAACAAGGAATTGTCCTCTAGAACCTGCAAAAACAGCTGAAAATAATGCGTAATATGATATGAAGGGGTTCTCGCTAAAAAACGTCAATCCCGTGGTCGAGGTGCGAAATCTGTTTGTATGTATAAACCCGATGATCCGAGCAACGAAGTCTGGATCAAATTTGGCAAAAAAGTGGCGCAAACGCCTCAAAGAGAAGAGTAGCTGCAATGTAGCTCCGGATAACGCTAGCTGCACTTTCTCACTACTGCTGTCAAATGACGCTGGGATAAAAAGCAAAAACATATCCGTGATCAGAGGGCTGTACATGAGAGAAACCGTACAAGAGAAATGGTACACATAGAAGAAAGAAAGGAAGATAAAAAAATGGAATCCTTTGACAGCTGATGAGATATTGATCGCATGGAGCACAACGAAGTTCCAAGCGACAAATGCGCGGGATTTCGCCGACGCCACCTTCGAGTCGTCACAACGGACATGGGCCTCTGGAGGCCGTCTTGGGCGTAAGGGGGCGCCAATGGGCCTAAATGGCAGGGTTCCCCGCGAAATCCTGCAGTTTTTGAGTTTTTAGGTGTGCCACAGCCCCTACAATCGCCTGAGGGATCATTTGGCACATTTTAAAGCCTATGGCCTTAGTTTATCGCGGAAAGTGCCTTTGAGAGGGCTTTTATATTAGGTTGTCCGGAAAGTTCTCAGCGTTTTGGGTGTTTCACTTTAAACGATCATAACTTTCTTAATACTCATCGGATTTAATCGAAATAAGCACCTTTCGAATCAGCACACTTTTGCCAATGTGACACCAGTCGATAAATCCCATCAAAAAAAACTGGGTGGTCGAGAATCCACGAAGGCTTTTTTGCCTGGTCCTGATTGATGAAGTATTTTCCAGCAAGGGAGTTCTGAAAATGTTAGAAAAGGTGATAGTCGGTTGGCGAAAGGTCTGAAGAATATGGCGGTTGAGGTAGAACTTCAACCCCCAATTCGTTCAATTTATGGATAGTGATTTGTGAAACGTGTGGGCGGGCGTTGTCATGCAAAGGAATCGGACCCTTTCTTTTGATAAGTGTTGGCTGCATCTGACAAAATTTTCGGTACAATTCGTCGATTTCTTCACAGTAGGGTTCTGCTGTGATGGTTTGGCCTGGTGATAAAAAGTTATAGTGGATCACACCAGCCGATGACCACCAAGCCGTGACCAGAATCTTTTTTTCGTGAGGGTTCGGCTTTGAAAATTACCTCGGTGGTTCGTCGAAATCCAACCACTGTCCGGAACGTCTCCTGTTATCATACATGACCCATTTTTCATCACAGGTGACAATTCGGCCCAAAAACAGGTCGTTTCTGCTGCGCAAAAGCAATGCAGAAGGAACCTCGAGACGTGCCGATTCCTGCCGGTCACTCCGATTGTGGGGCACCCAATTGTCGAGTTTTTTCACCTTCCCAATGCGTTCCAGACCATCTGCAACAGTGGATTTGCCAAGGCCTAGCTCTTCTGCTATCTCTCGAACTGTTTGGGATGGGTCAGCCTCCAAAATCCCCCTAAAATCCTCGTCAGATATTGCTTTAGGTCGACCGCTATGAGGTTCATCTTCAAGGCTGAAATCTCCAGAACGAAATTTGTTGAGCCATTGCCGCACAGTGCTTTCTCTAGCACTATTGGGCCCCCACACCTGGTTAATTTGTTGAGCTGTTTCGATTGCGGATTGCCCCAATTTATAGTCGAAGAAAAAAATCGTCCGAAGTGCTCTTTTCACATGCTTGAAAAAATCTTGAAAAAAGGGGTTTATCAAGCAATGGTGAAACGGCAATTATACCATCAGATAGCGCAAGAAATTCTCTACAGGATGTGCTACTGAGAAGCAAGGCAGAATGAGTTTTTAATCAGCAGTGAATGTACAAAAAATAGGTGCACAAAACGCTGAGAACTTTCCGGACAACCTAATATTTCTACGAGCTACGTATAGAATGGGCGTTATAGCCGAAACGAGCACGCCTCCGCACTATCAGGGTGGACTGAGGTGTGCAGAATTCGCTAGGTTGCTCTGTCTATTATGATTCGACCACTAGCGCGCAATATGAGCAGCTCAGGCAATTAACAAATTCCATTCCCGTTATGATGTGCGCCTGGCGAAGCCAGGCCAGCTCGGCGAAGCCGAGCTAAGGGAAGGAGGAGAGCTCGGCGTCAGCCGGGCGCTCCGACAGGTATACTCCAGTTCGCCGGACGAACGGGTGTGTCAGGCACTAACAAGGGGAGGATGATAGCCAGGGGCCAATCGCAGTGAAATGTGTACTGACTGGAAGGTCTTCGGACGGGAATTACGAAACCGTCTTCCATATCTGCTGCGGACCTCCCAGAAAGAAGTTACGGAGCTTTTTAGGGGGGAGAATATTTGCATTCACTACAAATTAGCGTCGTAAGGCTTGGCGATCGTGGCAGCATGGCTGTGGGTACGTCATAGGGCTCAGGAATGCGCGGTCGAGGGTTTGATCCTTGGTGCGTGTGCTCTTTTGCATTTTTTCGAAAGTGGTCCCTGTGCACTTCAAAGCTATTTTGCATAACTCTTGTGCCTGATAATGTCGTGACGTAATTTTGTTTTTGATTTGAAAAGCATACACAACAAAAGTGCATTCCAACGAATGATTTTGCCCTGAAAATGACTTTATTCTCCAAATGACATGACTGGAAACGAATCCGAAGCCGCACGAAGTTGTGCACGAAGATGAGTATAGTGGGGAAAATGCTTTCATATGAAGTGGCGTTGATGTGGCAATCATGCTGGAGATCGCGATGAGCAAAAAAATCATTTATCACTCACATAGTGTTGAAAGATCCCAAAGTGGTTTCGCACCTGCTGGAAGTTTTCGGCTCGTATGACAATCTCTTCAGCCAGAAGTGATCTCCATGAAATCGTTCGCAATGGCTCCATCAGTTCAGAAACATTACGTCACGACATTATCAGGCACAAGAGTTATGCAAAATAGCTTTGAAGTGCACAGGGACCACTTTCGAAAAATGCAAAAGAGCACATGCACCAAGGATCCAAACCCTCGACCGCGCAATCCTGAAGCCCTATGACGTACCCACTCGGCCATGCTGCCACGATCGCGAAGCCTTACGACGCTAACTCGTAGTGAATGCGAATATTCCCCCCCCCCTAAAAAGCCCTCTTTCTGGGAGGTCCGCAGCAAATATGGAAGACGGTTTCGTAATTCCCGTCCAAAGACCTTCCCAGCCGGTACAACACTTCATTTCAAATGGACCACTTCGACCTACCATCCTTTTCCGTGTAAGGGTGTGCCAAGGCGGCAAACCGTTTTCTGCCAGTCGTTGAAGCGGGTATGCGAGCTGATAAAAAATGAGGGATACAGTAATGTGGTACAGAATTGTCACTATCACTGTCACTCGCTTCATAAACTCATAGAAAAAAGGGTTTCGCATCGCGCCAAACTCGTCTCGCCTGCTTTCCTTTTCCATTTGTAGCGGACTAGATTAATATAATCCTGAATAACAGTTCCAATTCGCACAGAATGCACGCTCAGAACGCCAGACCGTCATACAATGAGAGGATGGTGTGCCATTCGAAGAAGGACGGATGATCGTAGACAGAGCTCCTGGAATATTAGGCTTTCCCGAAGTGGCGGAGGGGCGAAACGGGAATATCCCGGAAGTGCACTGGAGCAAACGGCGACCTTGAAGGGACCTGCAGACAAAAACCGCCGCAGGATTTGGAGTGCACAGGACGAAAAGCTTTCGAGGCATGGGGACTGTCTACGAGTCTGCACCTACAACTGTCGCACCATTGCCTCGATAGCCGACCGAACCATATTAATGGAGGCTAGTAAAAGACTTCGTTTCGATGTCATCGCTCTCCAGGAAACAAAAGCAAAAGAAACAGCTACCAGGAAGACCAACGATGGCCACCTAATTGTTCTCGGAGCCAAACTGAGCGGAAGAAATGTCGGTGGTGTTGGATTCCTCGTCCACCATCGGCTCGAGCACATGGTCGATTCAGTCGAAGTGATCGGCCCGCGACTGGCCATCCTACGTCTACGCATCGACAAGCGCACTTTCGTTAGTATTATCAACTGCTATGCACCGACGTCAACAGCTACGGACGAAGAAAAGGACGCGTTCTACAAGGAATTAGAGGAGATGATAAAGCGGGAACGGTCCTACTACAAATATCGAGGAGACTTTAACGCAGTCATCCATGAGGAGATGCCAGCGACAGCGCGCATCGGACCACACGGAACCGGGGAAACAAACGAAAACGGCGAACGTCTGATGGACCTCTTAGAGCAATGCATCTCTTTCACGGAAACAGCTTCTTCACGAAAAAAGAGGATCGGCGATGGACGTGGGAGAGTCCGAATGCAACGACTCACAGCGAAATCGACCACGTTCTCACTAACAGGAAGTGGAGTCTGCTCGACGTCAGCGTGGTGGATGCATTCCGCACTGGGAGCGACCATAGGCTGGTTAGAGCAAAAATTCGTCTCCGAGCGAGAATCCGAAGACGCGACTTCTTCCGACCCCCTCCCATACGGTTGCCACATTACGACACAAACGCCATGGAGACGGCCGCCGCTCACTACACGTGGCAGGAGGCGCAAGACTTGTCGCAAGACTATACCATGCTCATAGAAGGACTTCGACATTGCGCTATGGCATCGGCTATCACAACAAGGACGGATTCGAATGGCAGGATTGACGACAAGGCTCGCGCACTTCTGCAGCAACGCGCTGTCGTCCATCGTAACCCTGCATCAACACCATTGGAGCGCGCCGTGATCAACAAAGCGTGCCGCATCGCAGTGAAGGAGTCGATTCAGCGCTACAAGAATACTCGACTGAAGGAAGCGGCGGAAGCGAGAGCGAGTCTCAAACGATGTCGTCGAGACATCAACGACTCTCGCTCGGTCACCACGGTTATGCGAGACGCGATGGGCAGACCGCAGACATCGAGAGCGAGGATTGAAGAGATCGCCGTCAATTTCTACACGGATCTCTACCGATCAACGATGCCAGTTCCACGCATACCTACACCTACGCAGGGCAGCCCCACAGATAGAAGAGTGGGAGGTGGAACACGCCTTGCGTCAAATGAAGCCGGGGAAGGCACCAGGACCTGACCGCATCTCAGTAGACTTTCTGAAGTCGGCGTCCCGCACCGTCATAAAACAGCTCACCAGGCGCTATAACATGGACGCGCAAGAGATCCCGGACCAGTGGAAGACGTCAAGCACGGTTCTTCTGTTCAAGAAGGGCGAGCGCGACCTAATGAAGAACTACCGCCCCATCGCCCTCCTCTCGCAGCCATACAAGTTGTTCACGAAGGTAATCCTCAACAGGCTCGAGAAACAACTGGATGACTATCAACCAGTGGAACAGGCCGGGTTTCGCAAGGGCTTCTGTTGCATGGACCACATCCATACTGTCACGCAGTTGATCGAGCGAACCAAGGAATACAAGCAGCCGCTCCTGCTC